GCTGAACTACAACATAAAAATGAATGGCTGGCAGGAAAGTTGACATTTTAAACCTTAATAAAAATCGATAAAGGGCTTTAGAATATCGATACAGTATCGGGAAATGAAATATCACGATATTTCAGTGTATCGATATTTTCTTACACCCCTATCCCTAACGCCTTCTGCTCCAGCTACCCCGGCCTGCTGATCATCCCTCAGAGCATCCCAGACTCCACCATCCATCGGATCTGCCGCTGCTATCGACAGAATCGCTTCCCTGTCGTGTGCTGGAGGCATTCACGCACCAAGGCTGTCCTGCTGCGCTCCGCAGGCCTTCATGCCAAGGGGGTGGTGAGCTTCTTCAAGTCCCCCAACGCTCCCACTGCAGGTAGAACATTCATTTCTGTCTTTATGGCACATCTTTCTGTTCACTGTGTGACCAGGTCCACTTTTCAAGCCCGAGACAGGAACAAACTTTTGCTGTGAAATTTTCCCCGTAGGAAAAAATAACCTTTTCTGTTAAACACCGTGAAGTCAAAAGATACAGATTTTGTTGCTACACTTCTATAACTCACCTGTTTTAGGTTTCAAATTTGAAGAAATTACTTGTTTGTTTGTTTGTTTGTTTTTTCTGAGCAGTTCCATCGCAGGCGGACTCACCCAGTCTGGAGCAGGAGAAGTACCTACACGCCATCATCAGCTCCATGCCATCTTACAGCGAGAGCAGCGGCAGGAACACACTGAGCGGCTTCACATCCACACATATGAACACCTCTGGTCAGTGTCCACACACACACACACACACACACACACACACACACACACACACACACACACACACACACACACACACACTGAGAACACTGCTAAATGCAATTAGTGGCAACAAACTTCAAACAGCATTTGAGAGGCAGTCTCAAAATGTTTGCAGGAGTTCTCAATTCATAGAGACTAAAAATTGTCAATTATAAATATGTTTGAAAAAATTCTCAAAACAAGTTTTGTCTTTAGAGTCATGACAGGAGTCTTAAACTCAGCTCAATTTATTTACTGTTATTTTAAAGCAAGAGAGATATATTTGTTTGTTTTGAGACTTTATTCGACATTTTTTTGAACTTGAACAAAATTAAAAACTGGTTGCTTCAAACTGCCTCAGACCCCAAGACAGGTCTTGCCCCTCAAAGTTTGCCACTCTGTCTCACTTTCAAAACCAGCTGAGAACATTTTGTTTGACTTGGTTAAAATATTTAGTAATAATATTATTGTGTTTCTGTTTTTATTGCATATAATGGAATATTTTTGTGATACTGAGTCTGATGTCGGAGAAAGGTGCTTTAAAAAAAAGGAAAAATATTAATGTATAAGTGCAAAAAATGATAAGTTTCTTTTAACTGTGGCCAGTTGAGGATTAACAGATCTGTGATGTCTGTTTTCTCCGTATATCTCTGGACACCAACAGACTCTCAGTGCATGTGTTGAAGCAGATGCTGCTTGAATATAAAGCACAAACTACCCTGCTTGTGTTTTTAAGCAGTTTAGGATCTTTTTGTTTTAAATAAACTTAGGTTTTTTAATTTCTTCTGGTCTGAGATCCAGGGTTCAGAAAACATTCATTGCTAAAGTTCCAGATGTTGAAGCCCAGCACTATTTTCTATGAAACTTGTCCTCATTTTTCCATCTTTATTTGAAAACTTTGCTCCATTCATTATCTTTGGGTTATTCTGGAGTCGGGTCTTGAACAGGGAGGCCCAGACCTCTCCACAGCCACCTCTTCCAGCTCTTCTGGGAGAACTCCAATGTGTTCCCAGGTCTCCACAAGACCTTGTATTCGTGAGCTTGTTCTTTCACTACCCATTGTTTGTGGCCATAGGTGAAGATATGAATGTAGGCTGACCAGTAAACAGAGCTTCACCACAACAGATGGGTACAGAGTCCACAATTCTGCAAAAGCTGCACCGATCTGTTTATCAATCTCACGCTCCGTTCTTCCCTCACTCATGAACAAAACCCAAAGATACTTGAACTCCTCCACTTGAGGCAGAACCACAGCTCCAACCCCGAGAGATGAATCCACCCTTTTCTAACTGAGGACCCCCGGACTCAGATTTGTAGGTCCTGATCTTCTTTCCTGTTGTGAACCGCTCCAATGAGAGCTGAAGATTACAGCACGATGACACCAACAGAACCACATCATCTGCAAACAGCAGAGATGGATATCCTGAGAACACWGAACCAGACTCCCTCCACCCTCTGGCTGCACTGAGAAATTCTGTTTAGAAATGTTATGAACAGAATTGGTGACAACAGGCAGCCCTGGCGAAGTCCAACTMCCACCCTGTAGGGGTCCAACTTACTGCTCCCTTAAATTAAAAGCTAAAACATGAGCAGAGTGGGAGGAGCTGGGCAACAAAACTTTACGACTTATAGTCTGTGATTTCTTAATAACCCCTAATTTACACTACATGCGTTACGGCTCCGCTCCGCTCCGGTCTGACCTCCGCAGCAAATACACACCCATTATAATCAATGAGAGTGTTTACACTGGCTGCGCACGGCGATCCAGCAAAATTAGAACAGATCCTATTTCTGCCGGACGCCGGAGCTGCACCTGAGTCAATTTTTAAAAATTACGTCGGACTAACAGGAAAAGAAACGAGCACAACATCCGTATTTTCAAATTAAGACACGTTTAGGTGGGATAATTTGTCGGAATAATGTCGAAATTGCAGCTATATTAATAAATATATGGATATATTTCTACACAACTGCTGTCAGAATGTATCGTTCTGTTTGGGAAGCAGATGGAAACGTAGCATGAAGCATATGTGTACACACACAATACATGTGGATTTTATTTTGAAATCATAAGTTTCAAAAAGACAGTTTCAGCATAGATACCAAAAGCTTTTATATCGTTGTTTTCAGCTGTGTTTGGAGTTTGTCTTTGACAGAATTAATTATTTTTTGCTGTTGTCACTGAATTTATCGCACAATCTCCTTCCTGCACTCTCTGTCGGACCGGAGCGGAGCGGACGCTGTATAAATTGAGACACAAACGAACAGCTGTGACCTGCGCACCGCAGCGCAGCGCAGCGCAGAAAAGCTGCATGACTCTCTGGTCACTTGTTAGCAAACACTCAAATACGTGAGACTGCAGCAAAGACTTTTTTACTTGTGATTTTAAATCTCTAATCTCCAACAGCTGCAGATGCTAGTTTTAGTGAAGTCCGACCCTGCTGGGTCTCCAGGGTCACACACCTGATAGGTTCTTCTGTCCTCAGACTCATCAGATAAGCTGCGACAGCCCAAGGTTGTGGATCTGATGAAGCAGGTGTTGGGCAACAGGGAAGATGTTCCTGGAACTTTCAGCAGAGGAGGTGAGCCGTAGCTGTGTGTCTCCACATTGATTAGAGACTTCGTGGTTTCACAGCAGCGTGTGAATCGTGTTTTTAATGGTTGAGCTGGGAGGACTGAGCATGGCGGATGGTGGGTCAGTGAATGCTCTCGCGTTGACTCTGTGTTTTGTGGGAGTGAGCGAGTTAAATAAAGCCTTTGTTGTGTCGAGCTGTCGGGTAACAAGCCATCTCTGTCTTTTGACCTCAGCTCTGGGTCAAAAGGCCAAAGTCACCTCCCTCTCTCATTCCAAAGTGTCTGGCAAGGGCAGGAGCCCTCATGGAGGTACAGTAGGCCACGCCCCCAACGCTTTCCTTCACTCCTGTCTAACCAATCAGATCTCTTTAACAGAAACTTTTAACAGTGTTTGGCATTAGGGCTGCACAATATTAGAAAAGCTTGCAATGTTTCTTTCTGTTGTTCAGTATTGCAATGATGATATCTGTTGCAATAACTCCACTTTTCTCTTGTCATCAYTATTTAAACCAGGTCAAGGCCAGTGAACATCTGTTGGATTGATCAAATACATTAGCATGCAGAACATGAATAATGGTCTGGTTTACTGCAGTTGTTTGCGCTACTGATTTGCACTGTATGATACTGCGGTGATGATTATATTTGTTCATATTGTGCAGCCCTATTTGGCTCCATCTTTGTAAACGCACTCTCTCTGCAGACTAATGTGGTGTTACTGCTTGTGTTTGTTGGTGTGTGCATGCTGCTGCTGCAGCGGGGTGGTCTGATTCCTGTTGGGTGTTTTCTGTTTGATTCTGTCCTTCAGCTGAATGTCAACAACAATCATCTTAATGTAGTAGATAGATGTAGCTAAATGGACTGAGTAGGCTTCAGTCACTTCAGCCCTGTTTGCCCGTCTGYCAGCGTACTGCTGACATTCATGACAAGGATCATTCCACCTTAAAGAGATGCTACTTTGAAGCGGTGTTCTGTCCAGTAGTCACGAATAGTTGGAGCTTTATCAGTCATAAAACAAAGAGTTTGGAGAAAAAGACAAATCTTTGACAAGGTTAGGCTAATGCTGCTGAGGTTTAACTGTTAGTAGCTACTAAACAGAACATCACTTTAATGTGAGTAGACGATCTCTAAAACAWATCTGAATGATCCTTTCCTGGCCTTCATTGTAAGGTTTGTTGATTCGGTTTCCATCCTGATTTCTTTAAAGACCTAACTGTGTGTGTCTGTCGGTGTGTGCATGTTGCAGGGAAATGGGGCAGTATCCGAGGCAGCGGGCGTCTAAGTGCCTACAACCCAGAAGTGGGGACACGTCTGGCCGGAAAAGAATCTCCACAACCCAACGGGGGGCTTAGCGAAGCGTTGTTTCTCCGTCAGCAGAAAGCCTACCTCTACATCATCGGGGACAAGGCTCAGCTCAAGGTAACCAGAGAGACTCCACCCGACTTACATTTGCAGAAACCTGGAAAATAGTTGTTGCTGTTGGTGAAATAAAGAAACTCAGTAATTTATTTCAGGTGACTTTTTGATTGATGGAACTCACCTTCAAATATTAACTTTTCTAACCAGTTTAGCAGTGATTATATGACTCGTGCTTCAATGATCACATGACACCTTGATTGTGAGTAGGCGGGGCTTTAAGCCTCACATTCATTAGTACAACATGGCGCCTCCCGTAAACCAACTCCCACCAACAACTTAAGGCAAGTTTATAAAAAGTGGAAGTGAAAAAGAACCACTGATTTATCCTGATCTTAGATTGACACCAACCCAGAGCTCACTGCAGAATTTAAATGGACTAAATTTGGCTCAAAAGTCGATCTGGTTACATATTTAAATAAACCACAGGAGTTTGTTGTAAAATCAAGAAAATACTTAACCTTTATTGAATTTGAACTC